CTGGAATCAATACTTAATGCAGAAGGCCAGAAAAAGTAGACACCACGAGTTTTGTGGATCAGCCTTTGGTTTGGTTACATATCAGGCAATACTGAGTTTTCACATCAGACACTACTGAGAGTCATCATTTCAGAAATGCTTCCAAAGGGAAATTACACCACACACCTGCTGTGGGTACCACTACTACCGGGCTCCACATGGGCCTCAAGTTCTGCCCAAGCTGAACAGTTTGCAGGATCAGGGCCTGACTGCCTGTACCAGGAGAAAGAGTGAAACCGAATATACACAAGTGCTATCAAAGTAAAAACAAACTGAACCAGAGAACTTCTCCCCTCTGATCTCTTTCAACTCTAGTAAACTTAGGAGTTACTTGTTACAACGGTAGGTAAAACAGACAGAAGAATGGTTTAATTTGATGAGATACTTTTAGTTCGATGGACTTATGAGACACATTTGCACTGAAACGTAACCTTGCTATTCCTCACAGCTGTGGGAGCAAATAAAAGAGGATCAGACAATCTTACCAAAGTTGCTCAGGAAAAACAAAACAAAATCCCAAGCATTACACTGCATTTCTTTACCTTAAAATCAGGGCTTCTGGTTTTAAGTTAAAGTAATGTTCATCTGCGGTGAGAAGCAGCCAGATTAACACTTGCTATTTAGAATATCCACTGAGCTTCCCGCATTGTAGAGATGAGCAAAATTCAGTGGGGTCCCTTTTTATCTAACCCCCTAAAGTTGGTGAGTGCAGATAAAGGATTCAAGTTTTGTTTCAAAATGTCTGTGCTGCAAACCTGGTCAACCAGTTTCATGCCACTCCTAGTCAAATCTCACGTGAGAGAGGCTGGAGGCTGAAAAACACACAGAAGAAGTGAACCCCTGTAAACACAGATCGTATGTTGAAAGTGACACTATATAATGATAACTGAGTCATTAGAATCTACTGAGCCATTATGGGTTATACAACACTCCTGAAATGAGCAATGCCCATTAATGAAGAACAGTGTTTCTAATTCCCAATGCAAGATGCTGAAAAGCAAAGAGTTATTAAATCATTTCTGCACTGCCTGGTGTCAGAAGAAAGAGACAGTGACACTTCCATTCACTTTCAACCACAAAAGCTATTTCCACCTACCTGAACCATACTTCAGAATAATTAAAGAACACAGAACTTGTTGAAATCTTCAACACTTTGGTAATTGCACATATTAATAAGAGGGAGGGAAATGTCAACTATTTTAAAACTGCAGATCTGAAACTGAACATTTAAACTAAAGGCCCAATCCTGTTCTTATTAATATCAATGGAAAAACTCCCACTTACTTCAATGAGAGAAGAGTTAGACCCTAGACATATACAGCCTTCCAGTCCCACAAAACTTGGAAGTGTTAAACTTGCTAACCTGCTTATAAAACAGTATTTGGTAGGAAAACATAAAGCAACTCTGCATCAGACCATGATGCATTCAGAAAAACTGGACACCAGTAATAGTGGGATCATCAGGCAAAAAGAGCCAATCCTGAAATTACTCAGGAAAACACAAATGAGAGGCAGGGTGGTTCAGTAGATAAGGCACTAGACTGGGATTCAGGAGACCGATGTTCAATTCCCATCTTTGCCAATAGCCTGCCTGCTACCCTCCCACTCTGTCTCTGCCCTCTCTATTTCAACTGTAAGCTTTTCAGGGCAGGGGTCATCTTTTCCAATGTGTTTGTGCAGAGCCAAACTGAGCCTAGCATGAGGCCCCAATCTAAGTTGAGACCTCTAGGCACTCCTGAAATACAAATAAATCATGACCACCACCATCAGTGGGGCTTGAACCTGCAGACACTCACTACTGGGGCCAGTGCAGTGAAGAGCTCCAGCAGAAAAGCACTTCACCCAGAGATACGTTTTCAAGAGCACATGCATTGTTTGCAAGTCTGGCAGGCGTAGGGGAGGTTAATAATGCACATGACACTGCATTATCGAAGTGGTACATATTTATCAAGAACTGCACTTGCTCCAACTTCTACACCACCAGTATCACTGAAATAGGAGCCAGGTGGAGCCAGAGTAAATAAGCGCCCATATTTAAACAAAGAATTACTGAAGGATCAACACAAGGGGAGGTGCTGAGGAGGCAAACACGGTACAATCTCAAACTCCATGTGTTTGAACAAATTGAACCAATATGGAAAGGATGTGAAGAGAAGAAATTTTTCAGTTGCTTATATACCAATGCTAGGTGTGTGGGACACAAGTGAGAGGAACAGGTAGTTCTCATTGATGAGAAAAAAATTGCGGTTACTGGTATTCCTGATAGCTGGTGGGATATTTCACATGATTGCAATGTTAAAATCATCAGTTATAACCTGCTCAGGAAGGAGAGAGTGGGTAAAAGAGCTGGGGAGGATAGGGTCACTCTACGTTAAAGACACTATCACCTGTTTTAGGATCACTGATAACTAAGAACTACAGGACCTTGAATGCACATGGATCAATTGCTAACTCACAAAACCCAAGGAAGGCTACTAGTGGAGGCTTGTTACAGGCCACCAAATCAACCCAGAGAGCAGGATAAATTACTCCTTAAACACTCATCTGTAAAGAAAACCTGTGATGCTGCTGGGCACCAATATGGGCACCATATAAGCACAACATAAGAACACAAGAACGGCCCTACTGGGCCAGACCAAAGGTCCATCTAGCCCAGTATCCTGTCTTCTGACAATGGCCAACCCCAAGTGCCCCAGAGGGAATGAAAAGAACAGGTAATCATCAAGTGATCCATCCCCTGTCACCCATTCTCAGCATCTAGCAAACAGAGGGTAGGGACACCATCCCTGCCCATCCTGCATGAATTCATCTAGTTCTTTTTTGAACCCTGCTATAGTCTTGGCCTTCAGAACATCCTCTGGCAAGGAGTTCCATAGGTTGACTGTGTGTTGTGTGAAAAAATCCTTCCTTTTGTTTTAAACCTGCTGCCTATTAATTTCATTTGGTGACCCCTAGTTCTTGTGTTATAAGAAGGAGTAAATAACACTTCCTTATTTACTTTCTCCACACCAGTCATGATTTTATAGACCTCTATCATAATCCCCCCAGAGTCATCTCTTTTCCAAGCCGAAAAGTCCCAGTCTTTTTAATCATTCCTAATACGGAAGCTGTTCCATGCCCCTAATCATTTTTGTAGCCCTTTTCTGAACCTTTTCCAATTCCAATATATCTTATTTGAGATGGGGCAACCACATCTGCACACAGTATTCAAGATGTGGGTGTACCCTGGATTTATTTAGAGGTAATATGATATTTTCTGTCTTATTATCTATCCCTTTCTTAATGATTCCCAACATTTTGTTTGCTTTTTTGACTGCTGCTGCACATTGAGTGGATGTTTTCAGAGAAGTATCCACAATGACCCCAAGATCATAGAATCATAGAATATCAGGGTTGGAAGGGACCTCAGGAGGTCATCTAGTCCAACCCCCTGCTCAAAGCAGGACCAATCCCCAATTTTTGCTCCAGATCCCTAAATGGCCCCCTTAAGGATTGAACTCACAACCCTGGGTTAGAAGGCCAATTTTCAAACCACTGAGCTATCCCTCCCCCCTTTCTTGAGTGGTAACAGCTAATTTAGACACCATCATTTTATATTTATAGTTGGGATTCTGTTTTCCAATGTGCATTACTTTGCACATATCAACATTTAATTTCATCTGCCATTTTGTTGCCCAGTCACCCAGTTTTGAGAGATCCTTCTGTAGCTCTTCGCAGTCTGCCTGGGACTTAACTATCTTGAGTAGTTTTGTTTCATCTGCAAATTTTGCCACCTCACTGTTTACCCCTTTTTCCAGATCATTTATGAATATGTTGAATAGGACTGGGCCCAGTACAGACCCCTGGGGGACACCACTATTTACCTCTCTCCATTCTGAAAACTGACCATTTATTCCTCTCCTTTGTTTCCTATCTTTTAACCAGTTACCAATCCATGAGAGGACCTTCCCTCTTATCCCATGACATCTTACTTTGCTTAAGAGCCTTTGGTGAGGGACCTTGTCAAAGGCTTTCTGAAAATCTAAGTACACTATATTCACTGGATCCCCCTTGCCCACATGCTTCTCCACCCCCTCAAAGAATTCTAGTAGATTGGTGTGGCATGATTTCCATTTACAAAAAACATGTTAACTCTTCCCCAATAAATTATGTTCATCTATGTGTCTGACAATTCTGTTCTTTACTATTGTTTCGACCAGTTTTCCCAGTACTGAAATCAGGCTTACTGGCCTATAATTCCTAGAATCACCTCCGGAGCCCTTTTTAAAAATTGGAGGTCCCATGACCTCCATTCTGGAGGTCTCATGAAGCCAGTAGGAAACATCACTTGGAGTTTCTAAAAATCATAGATGATAATTTTTTAACAAAAAGGGTATTGCACCCAATACAAGTTAATTTGATTTTGAACTTCATTATGACAAATGACAATGAACTAACCACTGGCCTGGAAATTGGCGGTTACCTAGGGACCAGTGATCACGATCTGATTACATTTATTGTGGGCAAACAGAAGACAATCAGTAATATAGATACTTGATGCTTCAAAAGGGCTAATTTCCCAAAGGTGAGGGAAGAAATTGATTGGGAAGAAAACTTAAGAGGGAAAAAAGTGAATGAAAATTGGCAGCTCTTGGCCTTTCTGGAAGGTATGTTTTAATCAAACACAAGTAATTGGACTCAATGCAGAACACACTGGGTGAAATGTAAAGGCCTGTCACATACAGAAGGTCAGGCTAAATGATCTAATAGTCCCTTCTGGCCTAAAAATCTATGACTTTATAGTATTGCTCAATAACCAGATTAGCCTACTACTTTCCATAATATTTGCATATTTTTCTGCACTGAGGTTAAAGTTTCACAACACAGACCCCTTTATAACCTGAGTAATGGGAGGGGGGGAAAGAGGGGAAAGGAGATTGCCAATCAGCTGTAAATTACAACATCCAACTTGAAAGACTTACTCAGAAATGTGTACAAAGATGTCTGGCCCTCCATCTGCAGGAGTAATGAAGCCATGGCCTTTGGAGCGACAGAAGCATTTACAGACTCCTTTATAGACAGGGCCTTCAGAGGCCCGCACGGTCCTGCATAGGGAGAGGGACACAAATAAGCAGTTCATGTTCAGTTATATGTGGGCTTCCACCAACACCAGAGCTAGAGAATACCATCCACACTGAATACAACAGTCCAAATGTTCAGTCACACGCCACTAACATGTCTCTCTGTGCAAACTATTTTAACATACAGTATGATATGCTACACACATCTTATCTAGCACCCAATGGCCTTTGAAAATGGATCAAAATCAATACAGATCTATGCTGGTGCTGTAGTCCGGCACTTTGTGCCTGATTCTGTGGTACTGTTTGTTTGTTTGTTTGTTTGTTGTGCTGCTGCCACCATGTGGAACCCAATCGAAAGTTGGCAGGAGGTGGGAACGTAGCGTTTCAGTTTGTCAACAGCCCTTCTGACCTCTTCCTTGCTCGCACTGTAGCCGATTCTCTCTCATTTCTGAGCTGCTGGCTGGATGCTATTATGAGCTGGCTAACCCCCAGTAAGTCATTTGTATTGCCACTTAGACAAGCCCTAATTTTCACAATGTAGGTCACTTTCAGAGGGTTTATTTCATAGAATCATAGAATATAAGGGTTGGAAGGGACCCCAGAAGGTCATCTAGTCCAACCCCCTGCTCGAAGCAGGACCAAATCCCAGTTAAATCATCCCAGCCAGGGCTTTGTCAAGCCTGACCTTAAAAACCTCTAAGGAAGGAGATTCTACCACCTCCCTAGGTAACGCATTCCAGTGTTTCACCACCCTCTTAGTGAAAAAGTTTTTCCTAATATCCAATCTAAACCTCCCCCACTGCAACTTGAGACCATTACTCCTCGTTCTGTCATCTGCTACCATTGAGAACAGTCTAGAGCCATCCTCTTTGGAACCCCCTTTCAGGTAGTTGAAAGCAGCTATCAAATCCCCCCTCATTCTTCTCTTCTGCAGGCTAAACAATCCCAGCTCCCTCAGCCTCTCCTCATAACTCATGTGTTCCAGACCCCTAATCATTTTTGTTGCCCTTCGCTGGACTCTCTCCCATTTATCCACATCCTTCTTGAAGTGTGGGGCCCAAAACTGGACACAGTACTTCAGATGAGGCCTCACCAATGTCGAATAGAGGGGAACGATCACGTCCCTCGATCTGCTCGCTATGCCCCTACTTATACATCCCAAAATGCCATTGGCCTTCTTGGCAACAAGGGCACACTGCTGACTCATATCCAGCTTCTCGTCCACTGTCACCCCTAGGTCCTTTTCCGCAGAACTGCTGCCTAGCCATTCGGTCCCTAGTCTGTAGCGGTGCATGGGATTCTTCCGTCCTAAGTGCAGGACCCTGCACTTACCCTATCCTTATCCTGCATTTAGATATGAGTGAATTGAAAAATCTCTTAGAAGAAAATCTGCTCTGTTCCTGAATCACTCATTTAAAGCCACAAGCCCCAGAAAACCGGACAGAAAATTTAAATAACCACATACATATTGAAAAAAGTGTCCACGAATAACTTTATTTCTACCTCCAAAAGTGAACTAAGGGCCTGATCCTGTGAGTATTTATTACTGGGTATAACACTTACTGCCCTGAGTAATCCATTGACTTCAAATCAGCCTATTCAGGGAAATAAGCACTCCTCCCTACAGTGATTATAGGAGAAGACTTCAAATCTGTAATGAACCAACTGAAAGTGGAGAATTTCAGGTCACATGCATCAGAAATGAATTTAAAAGATCTAACTGGTGCAACAAGATGTTTGCCACCACAGTCTTTCTTTCCATACAGCTTAGGACTCTGAACTGGCTTAGAGCTCCTTTTGTTTAAAAAGGGCAATCAAAATTAACAGCTGTTTTAATTTTCAGAGTTACCAAATCAGCAAGATTCTGACAATTAACAGTGATTAGAGAATCGCAGGAGCTCCCCCACCCTCCAAAAAAACAAACAAAAAAAACAAACACCCTAAGTCTTTAAGAGCTGGAGTGGAGATTAATGACTGATAGTTAGAGTCTATAATTTAGTCATAGGAAAAGTCTAACCCTAGGTATGTTTCAAGGTCACATCAAGCCCAGACATCAAACTGGGCAAGCACCTCATGAGGTTTTTTTAAAACCATAAATGGTCCATTATAAAGGTTCAGAGCAACTGAAGTATTTTGTAATTAACATCATGTTAAGTTCACCTCTTCTGGAGTGGCTGTTGTTTTTTTTAAAACTCACTTTGAACACAACTGCTAATATAAATAACCTCAATCTTAATTCTCCTATGAATCAGTAATGTTAATTTCTGACAAGAGAAGCTGGGTTACACAGCAGCAAAACACAGCTGACAAACATAACAAGCCAACTAGATGCAGAAGCATTTAAAATATAGACAAACTGAAAGACTGAGGTCTTAGTGATGTAGCATTTTACTGTGAGGTCTGCTTGGACAGACCCCTGCTCCCATAAAGACCTCATTCCAGGATTGGGGTCCAATGGCTGAAAACAGCTTCATATTATATATATGCAGTGTAGTTGTACTCGTGTGGATCCCAGAATATTAGAGAGACAAGCTGTGTGAGGTAATATCCTTTACTGGACCACTTACAGCCTGATCCAAAGTTAATTGAAATCAAGGGAAAGACTCCCATTGCCTTCAGTGGGCTTTGGAGCACAGTTGTATTGTACGGATTTGCTCTTTATCACAGGCCCACGTCATACGTTCGGTCAAAAGTGACCAGACTGTGACCTCTTTGGGGAAGACACTTCAGCAATATTTATTTCACCAGGCCACTCTGGATACACCTTGTCTTGGTAGAATCCTCAGGGGCCTGTACTGGATGGGTGGGTCATGGAGGGTGAAGGATCAAGACAAGGCAGACTGCACTGGAGGATCAGGGTCTTAACTAATTAAAAACAACCACAACCACACACACACTTTGTAAGACAGCTTCAAGCAACCCACAAACGCAGCATCCAGCCAAACCCAACAAGGACAGAGTTATACCAGGAAAACTAGTATATACCTTGAATAACTCTATTAAACTTGTTTTTTGTGCAGATTCACAGAACACTATTAAAAGAGGTCATATGTCAATAGGTGTCCTTCCCTCCTCCCACGTTGCTCCCCTAATACTCACGCTGAAAACGTCCTGGTCCGACGAGTTGGAAGGGGGCTTGGGATAAGGTAACCTCGCATGGGAGATGGAGAACGATCTCTTGTTCTGCGGTTTTCAGGCAGGCGGAGAGAACGTGGAGACCCTGGAGAAGTGGGGGACTGCTCAGAAGCTGAAGATGTGGGCTCAGAAGACATTCCTGATCCCTGAGGAATATCTACCAGGAGGAGGAAATTCTGATTTAGTACAAGATTTTGACCTTTTCAGTAAAGATCATAGTTTTCCAGCTTCTATTAAATCATCAAAGCGGGGTCACTTCCCTGCACCCATATTCCCAGATATTAATGCACCAAGGCGTATTGCTATGTGCAGGATCATATTACATACATTTTCTATCAGCTAGTTCTCACGAACTGCATCGGGAAATTCCCACAGAAAATTTCCAAAGGCCATCTGTTGGCTCACAGATTTGCTGCCCTATTTCTAACATAGCTAGTCTCATTTGATGTATATTGACAATTTACCTATATAAAAAAACCCATAAAATTAAAAAGCATTCCTAGGTTCCTGCCTAAGACATTTTTTTATTTGATAAAACAGATTAAAGTCTGCATTCTCTACAGGCTTGGAGGCAGAAAATCTGGGATTGGTCCTAAACCCTGATCCAGAATCAAAGGCCTGGCCTGCCTCCACTCATAGAAGAAGTGGAATTTCTATTGGAAACACACAGCTCTTTTTTCTTTCCTTTTACTTGGTAACTGGAAGGGAATTTTTTTAGGTATATGAAAAGTGCTGGATTTGCAGCCCAGAAGACTGAAATTTGTTTACAGAAATTTGTTCACAGAACAGGTACTGCAGAGGCCGTGGAAGTGCAAGCCATATTCAGCAGAACTCAGCCCAGACCAGGAGGAACCATCACTAGGGAAAAGATAAGTGAGGCAAGGTCTACGCTAGGAGCGCTTTGCTGGTAGAGCTATGCCAGTATATTATACCAGCAAAGTGCTCCTAGCGTAGACACAGACTACACCAGCAAAAACTTTTGTCGATATAGCTTATTCCATGCACCCCCACCCCCAGTGAAATAAGCTATTCCAACAAAAGTGCCGTTTTTTTGGTACAGCTGCATCTACACTACACAGCTGTGTTGGTCAGAGGTCACAAACTAATCACACCCATGAGTGACGAGCTATGCTGGGAAACGTTTGTAGTGCAGAACTGACCCGATTCTCCCAACCAGTCAAATTCTTGGTCTTCTTGCCAAAACTCCGCAAAAGGGTGTCACATTGATAAGAACATATCTACCCACTGGGGCTAGACTGAGACCACACTGCAGTTCAATGGTAACTGTCTGTCCTTACCACCTGGGTTGGATTCAGACCAATGATGGAGAGGCAAATACTCCATATTTAAATTAAGAATCCCAATCCCATGAACACCAGCCAGTCTTGTCCTTACCCACTTTGAATAGCAGGAAAGGAAAAAAGGTCTTTTCCTTTCCTTACCCCAATCTCAAGTTCTGTGTTTCTAATGACACAAACAATCCAAAACTCTCAGGAGTTTATTTTCCCAGCATTACAGGACTGAGACCATGTCACATACACGAAAAGCCTCATTTAAAGGCATGGGAGTGGTGATGAGGAATACAAAAGCCAGAAAAAATAAAAACCTCTTACTGAAAGGACTAGTCAGGGAAACAAGGGAAAGAAAAGCTTCCCAAATTGCATTTGACTGGTTTTGGCCAGTTACAATCAGACACCTTCTTGTTGGGGCTACAGTATATGCTTATACCCTGTGTATTTCTCTTGAGTGAAAGCCCTGTTGAACTGGTTTCATATGGCAGTGCAAAAGGATCCTGGTTTAATTATTTTTAAATGTAATAGCATTATTTTTTTTAATTTAATACATAAACAACTCCTATAGCTGCTGGTACATGGAGTAGAAACCCACTGACAACGTCACCTACGATTTAAGCTTCTCTTTTCTCTTACTTTCATGTATATTTCAGTGAATAACAGAAGAGTAAACAACAGCACTTTGAAGCACTGAGTCTCTTTGACACACCTCCACCCACTCACCCATCCACTTGAAGGAATGTGATCAAGGGCTCCTCTACACACAGATGCTGTGCTGCTTAATTATACCAATGTAGCAGGACAACTCCCCCAGTGTGGGTACACTTACACCAAAATAAAAGTGCTTACCCCGATATAGCTATACTGGTATAACTGGGAATACAGGGCATAAGCGATACTGGTATAATTGCATCCACACTATAGGCTGTAGCAATGTAACAGTTCCAGAAAACATATCACCAAGACCAAAAGCTGATTCAAACTGGAGTTTTTCAAACCAGACAAAAGAAACCCATCTCACACCCTGCTCAGACTCCTACACACCCCTTCCCATGAATTATGGAGTGAATCCTTAGGTGACAGCTAAAAGAGTCACATTCTTGCTGTCAATACAACAATTCCATTCCCATTAGTTCCTTATTGAAACTATCAAGTATAAAATTAAAGCAGCCTCTTTAGAATGAAGACATCAGGGAAAAACCTTTCTTGGTTTAATTACTTGAGGTGTCAAGAGGGTAAGGTGGAAGAGACAAGATCTTCATGTTCCCTTTAGCAAGGCTTGAACTTTTCACACCACATCCTCAAGGGCACCAACGCCCTGCTGAAATAAATGCTTTTTTCAGATTATTTGGACACAGATGGTTCCTTGGGGTACGTCTTGTTCCTTGGACACAGCGGCGCTGCTGCAGATACTCTATGCTGAAAGGCAAGACCTCTCCCGTTGGCATAAAAACCCTGTCTCCGTGAGCAGCGTAAGCCATGTTGGCCGGAGAAGCTCTCCCGCTGACACAATGCTGTGCACATGAACGCTTATCATAGAATCATAGAATATCAGGGTTGGAAGAGACCTCAGGAGGTCATCTAGTCCAGGCCCCTGCTCAAAGCAGGACCAATCTCCAGTTTTTGCCCCAGATCCCAAATGGCCCCCTCAAGGATTGAACTCACAACCCTGGGTTTAGCAGGCCAATGCTCAAACCACTGAGCTATCCCTCCCCCCATCATACACTTATGATGGTGTAATGTATGTTGCTGGAGGGAGAGTGGAATATTCACACCCCTGAGCGACGTAAGTTTTGTCGACATAGGCTGTAGTGTAGACACAGCCTTAGAGTCATTGGCCAATGTCAGCCCTGATGTAAGTGGGCTCAACATTTGGCAGGGATTGGGACAACAGTGCCAAAGCCATAGGGTTTCCCAATTTTTTTTTCTAGTGATTTGCTGAACAAGCTTTTGCTGAGGAAGTCAAGAAGAGACCCCAGTGTTACAACTGAAACTCAAAAGGTCTCTTTATTTATTTTCTTTGCTCTCAAGGGCTGAGCATCCCCAATGGCAGTAGAGACCTAAGATGTCTCCAACGAACCCTAAAGCAAAAGTAAAACACAGGTGATTTAAAATTCCAGTTTGAAAACTGAACAAATCAGAGGTGACATGGGCTGTTGTACCAGCATCAGTATAAATTTTTACAAAGAAGCAAGGCTTTTACCAGGTTATACACATTTGAATCCACTCGTCAGGGGACACAGAGAAGAAACCCTTGGCATTTTGCTTATATCTATAACAAGCAAAGCACAAGGTAACTGTGTTTCCCCTGTGCCTTGTAAAGCAGGGGAGGATGGGAAGCAGCCGGAAGCACATTAATCTATTTTAGTTTGATATATAGATGGCCTGCAAAGACATTTACACACAAAAAGGCTATAAAGATTTTGAAGTGTGCTGACTCACCTTACTGTTTCACTTTATCCTATCCCTGTGCCCTTTGCATTGTTGACATAAAATAAAATGTGATCCATGTCCAAAAAAGGGCTTACCATTCATTTGTAAGGTATTTGTAACCCTTTGTACTCTCCCCTCTTCTCCCTCTCCCTTCCCCCTGCCCACCCTATGACCAAAGCAGATGTATTTCCCTGACTCTCACTTATTATTCGTATTACAGTAGAGCCCAGAGGTTGTAAATCAGGATCAGAACCTAGATGTTACATAAAAACACAGAGCAAGAGACAGCCCTTGCCTTAGAGGGCTAATCACCTAATTTCAAGCACGATGCAACAAGGAAATGCAACAAATAAACCAAAGGAACAGGACAGGGACAGTGAAGACAGAAGTAACAGAAGACCTGCAAGGACAGCCAGATAGTTGTGAATCAATTGATGTAAAGAAATAAAAGCAATCTGCCAACAGAGTGCAAACTGGGAAGGTCTTACATGCCATGGAACCCCTTTGGACAAGACATTTCAGGAAAAGTTCATGATTTTTCCTCGATTTCTGTTGGGGGTTTACTTGCTTGAGCATTGCACCTAATTAGTATTTCAGATAACATGAATCAATAACTTCCTGAAGAATCACACTCCTTGTATGTATTGGTACTTTAAAATGTTTGCATTTGTTAAAACATGTGCTTTTAGAGTATTACTGCTAAAGTAAATGGGGCATTTGTTTCCATGCAACTACAATATAGTTAGCAGGCCAACATTTCAAAAGCATCTAAATCCCATTCAAAGTCAATGGGATTTAGGAGCCTATGTCACTTATTAAAATTTTACCTAGTATCCATTCAAATTAGTCACAGTCTGTACTCATCAGCAGATTGAGGGACTCGGGTCTAACTCAACCACTGAAACCTCAAGGAAAATGCTACTTTAAGAGGCTTAATATCCAGCTTCTTATTGGGCTAACAATCCGGAACCACAAACTCACTAGACACATTATAACATTCAACACCATACACATTCTTTAGAGATGCCCCCGGTGCATATCTTCCACGAAGAGTATGTCTACACTACGAAATTAGGTTGATTTTATAGAAGTCGATCTTTAGAAATCGATTGTATACAGCCGATTGTGTATGTCCCCACTAAGCACATTAAATCGGTGGAGTGCGTCCTCAATACCGTGGCTAGCATTGACTCACGGAGTGGTGCACTGTGGGTAGCTATCCCACAGTTCCCACAGTCTCCGCTCCCCATTGGAATTCTGGGTTAAGCTCCTAATGCCTGATGGGGCAAAAACATTGTCGCAGGTGGTTTTGGGTACATGTCGTCAGTCTCCCCTCCTTCCCTCCCTCCGTGAAAGCAACGGCAGACAATCGTTTCGCGCCTGTTTTCCTGGGTTACCCATGCAGACGCCATAGCATGGCAAGCATGGAGCC